AATAATTTACAATATAACAGCTAGTATATCTATTATAACTTATCATTTGTTTTAAATGAGCAAGTCAGTAGAATAAAATGAACAAAGTGAATATGAATTTGTTTGGGTTTTTACTCCAAATAGAATTTGAGTCTAATCTGCTAATTAAATTCTTTCTTGCTTCCTACTCTAAAACAAAAGAGAAAACACTCCCATTAATAAATACATCATTGTTTGTTCACTTTGCAGGTCTTTTGGCTAAAAAGGCTGTTGAAGCTGGTCTCTATGTTAAACCTTATATTAGAACAAGTTTATCTCCAGGCAGTGGGATGGTTACACATTACCTCAGTTCAAGTGGAGTATTACCATATCTTAGTAAGCTTGGGTAAGTGACAGTTTTATATTGACATTGGTGTTTAATAGGTATTGAAGCTGCTTATTAGGGCTTTTCATATACAAAGAGAAGATAGAAAAAAATATGCTATAGTTCTACTTGTTACTTTGCCATAACTACACAATCTCTGATGCCTTGAAACTCAGCAAACAGGGCATTTCTGATGAGCAGTGAACTGTGCTGGCTATTTAGAAGTAGAACATGTAATCACTCAGCTTCAGGATACTTAGTTGGAAAGAAAAGACAAGTAAAAACCAAGTTAATAGTGACAGTGTATATAGTACTATGTAATTTCCATGATTTGTATACAGTTGAATAAAATCTTAGAGATTGTGTTTATTAATCAGTAAATAAATGAGGTTTTGTAAGGTTATTTGGTCTACAGAACATAGATTGAATTGTCCCTGAAATTTGGTGAAAATAAACATTTACATTTTTTATCAAAAAACTAATTGATGCTAGTTGTGTTTTCTGTATATTTTGAAACATACTATCTTATATAAATTATCAGTTCCTTTGAAAGCCTGATAAATTTTAGATGTTTTTGTAATTTACAAGTATTATTTTAATTTACAAGTAACTTACAAGTATTATGCTCATAATCTTTTAGCTATATCATCTTGGAATTATTGACAGGTACCCTTCTCTAGCTTACTTGGTTAAGAATTAAAAGATTTATTCATAACAGAGTGCCTTATTTTATTTCTGAGGGGGGGGGGGCTTTGGTGAAATTGCTGTAACCAGATTGTCTTGATACAGTTT